CCTGCTGTAAAAGTTTTGGGATATTGTGATTGTTACATGTACTCTCTGCTGCATTACATCAAACAAGTTGCATTGGACACGCTAGGAGCCTGTTTCAGAAATTAAAGATAATGGTCCCTTTACAACTCAATAGTACTGATAAGTGTGATCTAGTTGTGCAGTATGTGTAAATGAGAGATTACAAAATGTTGTGGTTTAGTACTTGTCTGTATCTTCTTTAAATTGCTAATATTTTGTAATATTTGTTGTGCAGATTAAATACAAGGAAGAAATACAACATGCAACAACTATTTCTGATCCGCCTGAACTAAGGAGAGTTAAGGAAAACCAGAAGAATATTAGCAATGTGCGCCCCATTTTCATTGCCTGCACACTTCCCTCTGCTGTATTAAATGTCTCTGTATCTCAGTGAATATGTCTGTGGTATTTGTGCTAGTTCCTGTTTGTCCACAAAGACTAATTTAATCAATTAATGGCAAAATTATAACTCCTTAGCCTTGCACTTTGATTAACATCCACGAGAATGAAGTATTCCTGTTGAAGTATCAATTGTCTTTGAAGTAGAAGAAATAGTAGAGGGTGAGTACTAAGCATGGTGTGGAAAGATGTGGGTGTTAAGGGATGATATTTGCCATCAAAAGATAGTGTGATCTTTAATGATGTCTAACACACTCTTGCATTTTTGTTACTTGGAAGTCTTTGTGTAATATCTTCTGCCATGTTTACTAGGTTCAGTACAAAGAACAGCTCTGCAAAGCTACGCCTGTGACTGTCACCCCTGAGATTGAAAGAGTCAAGAGGAATCAGGAGAATATCAGCATGGGAAGTTGCTCTTTTTTAATCCTTTGTTTAATTTTTGGGTAAAGCGGATGAGTACAAAGTTCTGTCTCCAGATGCTGTGCCTTTTATTATAGTTATGTGCAGGTCCAGTAGTAGAATTACTTGAAAAATCTTCCAGGAAGCAATTGTGAAGAGCTGTTGCTTACTTAGGGAAATGGTACTTGAAATGTCACGTATTTGCTTAAAGAAATGGTTGCAATGTTTTGAAATGTTACTCTCTGTCTTGGTCGTTTGCAGGAAATCTTGACAGATATTTTTTAACAGAATATCCTTTTCTACATTTTTTTTACTTTGCTTTGCAAAAAATTGACTATAGTGTTACTCAAATGCTAGCCCTCTTACCTATCTCTTTCTGGTTCCTCAATAACCTTCTGATCAGAGTTTAGTATTTAAGGGCTGACATAACCATTACAAAGTCACACTGTTGCAGGACTGCAGGGAAGAAGGTAAAGCACAGTGGTGCATGCTGCTGCCTTCTGCATTGCTGCAGTTGTACCCTGTTAATGAGTCTTAAAGAGACCAGCCATTCCTCACTGGGTACTGCCATCAACAGTCCAATTTCATGGGGCTACAAACAGCTGCAGTGTTTCCCTCGTGTGTGTTCTGACACTTAATTTAGAGTTAAAATTTTCAAGAATACTGTCCTTCTAGCTTAAATGTATGCTATTTATTCCTGGATTTGTTTTGATATAGTTACCTCTCCTAAAATGCATGCTGTTCAAACGAGCCTTCTTTTCCCAAGTGATTCCATCCAGTCTGTCTAGTTCTACTCACATCATTGTTTACCTTCCACCAATTTCTATGTTTTGCAAATTTCACTGGAAACCTTAAATTCTCTTACATGTCACTGGAATAGCTTTGGGCAAAGATTCTTTAAGTTCAGATGTTTCTAGGAACATTGAGTCTTGAATAATAATTTTAACTTTATAAATGTCTGTTTCCAAGTGTAATCCTTTTGATAGCTTACTATCATTTTTACGTTAATTTTTCATTTAGAATATATTGATGTGGACAGACCCAAACTGTTTTGTATGGGAAGACAATCGCTTGAACAATATGTATGTTCAAGCCACAGTGCATTGCAGAATTATGAGCATAATGTATCACCACAGTTATCCTTATGACAAAACCCCAAGAGCTTATTTAAAAAAAAAAAAAGGTTTATATGGAAACATAAAACTCATAAAACTATATAGTTTGCATAAATCATGAAGACTCTCCAATTATTTACTAAATGTGTACTATATCTGAATTACCAGTACTTGGGGCAGAGTTAACATTAGAGTGATTGGTCTGTCAATGCCACATTGTATCCTTTATCCGCTTTATATACTGATCCCACCTTGAGTGTGCATTTGGTTAATGCATCATTGCTACAAGTGTGTTTTGTTAAAAAGCAATAGAAGGGATATTTCTACAGTTCATCGAAGTAAACACATGGTGAAATATAGGCAGCTGGATTCAGTTGGCAGTTCTCTGATGTATTGCACACCCTGTGTCTAATCACCTTTGGATATATGTAGTATAAAAGTTAGAACATGGATGGTCTCTTTAAGGAATCTCTGTCTGGACAAATACACATATACAGTGGACATTGCTAAAATTAATTTTTTTTTTTCATTTGCTTTGCCCTAGTTTCCTGCATTATCTGTGGCTTACTCCATCCCACAAATAAGTTATTCCTCTATACTGCCAGAGACCAGAGTGGTAAAGATGTGTGCATATGTGTTTATATATCCACAAAAATGCATTAATAAGAAGACTATAAAGAAAGAATTCAAGGTTATGCTTCAAAAATCAAGTTCTAAAAGCTTTAATAAAATCCAAATGCATTTTACCCTTTCAGTTGTTTCCGGGATGACCTTTCAAATCATACATTTTAATGTAATATAATGTGATATTGCTTTAGCTGAAATAGCATGTACCGTTTTATTCTGTTAAATAATAGGTTCACTACAGAGAGCAGCCTGGCAAAGCTACTGCTGTGAGTGTCACTCCTGAGATAGAGAGAGTCAAGAAGAATCAAGACAATATCAGCTCGGCAAGTTGTTTGAATCTTTTTGTCATTTAGATTTTCGGTCATTGTAGGAATATAACAAGGATATGCTTTTCCAATTAGATTGGATGTGTCAAATGAATCCAACTGCATCATCCACTGAATGGATTTTTTTTTTATTATCCTTTGAGGACATGCACTGCACATATGGGCAGCAAAAATATTCAGATTTGCCTTGATTATTCTTGCAAAAAAAATAGGTGATTGCATTGGCACCAGTATTTTTCAAGGAGAGAGTTGGGAGAGGTCAGTCATTCTTTCAATAATCTTCATCTTGTTACCTAGTTTTAGTTACTAGATTGCAGGAGTAAATTTCGGTAAAGAACAAAGGACATGGAAATTTAACTTTAGTGCAAATTTCGACTTTTTTTTATGATTCAAAACATAGAAGCCTATAGTCATCCATTCCACTCTGTGACATGCCACCTATGTCAGAGCTGAGTAGTCCTAAATAGATCCTATTACTAAACTCTAAAGAGCAAAATACTGTATTTCCCTTGCTTTTTATTATAATAACCTTTTTTTTTTTTTTTTTTTTAAATCGCCACTATAGCGGTGTAAGAAGCAGCAGACAGTTCTAATACAAAGCAAGGAAGAAGTCAAAAAAGTCCAGTGAAGTAAAGGACCAGGCTAGTTACATTACAGTCTGCGTCCTCAACACTGAAGCGCCAATGACAAAGGCCCTGCAGATGGTGAACAGAACAGGTTTCATGCAGAGCCACTGTCTCAAGGTGGCAGAAGAGAATTAATAGCAGTAAACACTTTAGAAAGGAGTGTAGGAGGGAAAAGCAAAGTAGGTTGGATTTTTCAGATTTGTCTAGGGACAAAGGAACAAAATTTGACCTTGTAACTGCATATGTCGTAAGGACCTTCTTAAAATGCTTATGCATATTTACCAAGCTAATCAATTTTGAGGTGCATATTTTAAAAGTAAGAGGAAAACTTCCCAACAGTTCTAGACTTCAAATAATTTTTTTATATCTGAAAATGAAGCTTTTTTTTTCCCCAAGTGCCTCCTTCCCTTCATTTCTCAAGATTTACAGGGATAAATACTGTGTTAATGAGCAGTAAATGAAAACCAAATGACACTGACTGAAGTTATTCTGTCCAGAAAATGCCTTGTATTCAAAAGCATATGTAGACGCATATATTTGCTAAGAAAATATGTTTTTTAATTAAAAAGGATTTGAAGAATATGCAGTATTGTATATTTCTGTTTCTCTGTTACTTCAAACTTACCTATGAGACATAAACACTAAGATTCATATTTTCATAGACACATTGTGCTTAGCTGTTATGTAACTTTAAGGAGGGCTAGACAATTTCAATATTTGGTTGCTGTTATCACAAATGCATGGTGAAATAGATTTGCACAACTGATTTGAGAGGTAATATTTTGTGTGTAAATATATAGGCAAATCTAAGTATTTGCTAACAGTCAGTACACGGTTTACAGTGCAGTGTAGAAGCTAAGAGAGTCTGTTAGTAGAAGTAATAAATCAGCCAGGATAAACGGTAAGAGTAGTTGGTCTATAACCAACAAGTAAGACCAACTACTTTTACAGGTTTAGAATTTGGCAGGGGGGGGAGAGAGGGGGAGGAGTTGCCTTTTTTAAATTTTAATGGATATTTAACCTTGGATCTTTACAAGTCTGTACAATTCCACAAAAGAAGGTGATTAGGAGAAATGTGACAATAGGATGTTTTGTACTCACTGCTGCACAGAGCACAGAGCCCATACGTTTGCTTTGAAAATGCATATTCCAATTTGTCCACACATGTTGCTTTTGTGCTGTAGACTACGGACAGATTCTGGGTCTGTCTGGGAAATAGGAAGGTAGCTGATTGTCAGCCATATAAAATATGCTTTAAAGGTGTTCAAGTTACAGTGGTGTTTTCTTATTATTTACCTTATTTTTCAGTTGATAAATGAATTATCTCAATTATGTCATTTAAACGTTCAAGAGTCCCAGCTTTCAGGTAAATACTATTTTTTTGAGTAAGTGATTGGTGGAATAAATGTGCCATTTGGCCTTACCAATGCACTAGCTCATCTGTATCCTCCTTCTGAAATGAGTCACTAGAAAATCAGTGTAAAGAAAGAAGAAAAATGTTGGGCATTGTGATTTGGAAAGGATACCATTGCATGGTATGGTTCTCAACATCCTTTTTACTGTAAACAAAAACTGTGTGCTGTTGTTGCTGTTTTGCAGGTCAAGTACAGTAGTGATCAGAGGCAGATGAAAGGTAGACGTAGTGTGCTTCTAGACACCCCTGAGCTAAGGCATGTCAAAGAAACACAAAACAACATCTCAATGGTAGGGTACTTTCTTCCTATAACTAGAGTGTACTAAGGAATGGCACTTGACTTCCACTGGATTTTACCTTCCATTAGTATAGGTAACTGATGAAACTCACTGCTCAAGTATAGAAGGAATATTTTCATATGCCTCTTGAGAGAGTGTTTGCTAACTGCATATGACTGTAATGAACATTTTTGAAATACTAATAAACAGTTTTTTAACAGTTAAAAATATGTTCTTTTTTGTGTTTTTTTTTTTCCTTTAAAAAAAGTATACACCTCATTTGAGCATCACACAGTTTGACTGGTTTAGGTGACACACTTCACCTTGTGCCTGTGCACTTTCCTGGTTTCTCTGTGACTTTTGTCCTTGGAATGGGTTGTTTTGTGTGCATTTGCTTGTGTGAGAATGTTTGTCAATTTAATTCTTTGATGATTAAGACTATTTAAAAAGTAAATATGCATAGTCAGGGAAACTGCTTTGTAACTCTTAATAATACTGGTTTTGTTCCAAGACGTGGTTATGTAACACTTTCCACCCTCATGTCCTTTATTAATTTTTTTTTTTTAGCAGGCTGCTTAGAATAACAGCAATTCTTTCTGAAAGCCTATATTTAAAGCCAGCTGGCACATTATAAAACAAAAGAGCAAATGATCACCTATTGTGTGAAACTGTGCATATAATCAAAATTCTCGGTGAATTAAAATACCTGAGTTCTTTAGAACTATTACTGCTGGAACATTTTTTACTGACAGACGTAGTTGTCTACATCAGTGTGGAGCTATCATATCTTAGAGAAGTAGGGAATGGATCATATAACCTCCTAAGGCCTTTTCCTGTCCTGTGTAACTGTAAGGTCATGCTTTGCTGCTTGAGTTAATGCCTAATTCAGTGCCAATGGAAAACAAATTAAAAAAATTATAATAAAATAATAGGAAATCAAGTTTAAGAGATAGAAGAGACTTGGCCAACTGTCCAGCCTGTCTAGCGTGTAACAATTCTGTTATGGTGCAAAGCCCAAAGAATGTAAGTGCCTCATAAAACAAACATGTATGGATTCTTGCATAGAGTAACTATCTACTGTCGGTTACAGCATCAAAATGTAATTCATGTTTTCCTAGGTAAAATACCATGAAGATTTTGAGAGGACAAAGGGCAGAGGCTTCACCCCAGTGGCAGATGATCCTGTAACAGAGCGAGTGCGGAAAAACACCCAAATTGTGAGCGATGCAGCATATAAGGGTGTGCATCCACATATCGTTGAAATGGATAGAAGACCTGGAATAATTGTTGGTAAGTGGTTAAATACTGTTGCTGTGGAGAAGATTTAGTTAACTCACTGTGGAGAAGATGAAAATGTCTGCTTGTGTTCTCCATTATTACCAAGAAAACATAGTCCGAGATTTCATTTTCACTCTTTTCTTAGTGTGAAGCTTGTGTTGAACTACTGGTTCAGTGCTGGCTTCTAGTGTAGTAATAATGGAAATGAATGGGAGATATGTTGTCATTTGCTCTGTGTTTTGTTTGGTGTGATGTTGTGTTTTTTTATTTATTTTTTTTTCAAAATATGGATAGTCATTGCTATTATTTCAAGTTTGAATTTTGACTCTTCAAGAAAGGCCAAATTACCTGCAATCATCTTCATTCTGCAGATAAGAGAGATGATTAAAGCTGTAATTCTCCAAGACGTCAGTGTTTATATGTTGCAGACCAGTTTTAGTTTGGCCCTCCTGTCAGTCATCAATTTGTCCAGAGCTGCATATGCTCAATTTACCTCTTGTTTCAGAATTTCACACAGCTTTCAAAGAAGCTGTAATTCATCAATAACTCATTAGATCACTGCTAAACCCAACACCAGTGTTCAGCAATTACGTTCTAAAAGACAGTCCAAGATAACACCAGGTGTTCAGAGGGCAGGATACAGATTGGTTCTGTATGTAGAGAGAGAGTATTGCATCAAGATGTCATTTGGAGTATTCATAATAAACACTATTTCACAATCAAAATGGATATTTGAAGTCTCTTAAAAGTTGGCAAGTCTGCTATGGCAAAGGAAATTGTAACCTGACATTTATTTTTTTTTTTGTGCATCTTTTTTCTGATTTTATATGCTTTACAACAGTGTAGACCCCAGAGGTTGTACATAACAGAAAACATGCTGAGATAGCACTCTAAAATTTTTCATACATAGTAATAATAGAAAGGGCTGACTTTAAGTCTGCCTCTCAAAAATCAGAGAAATTGCAGGCCAAGTAGAGTAATTTGTGGGTCGTATGGTCCATACTGGTGCCTAAAGCAATGTTAACTATGTAATTCCTGCCAGATATTTGTTCAGTCTTTTCCTTAAACTCCCCAAATGAGTCTCTATCACAAAAAGAAGTGTATTTCATTCCTGTTGTATACCCATGTTTTACGTGTCTGTAGCTACAGCCTTATGTCAGAAGGGATTTCTCTGAAGTGAGTGTTTAAACAGCACTACCTGGGGAAGGTATTGATGCTTTGAAGACTGTGAAAGTCTCAGAGGGTCACGCATTCA